GGGGAGCCCGGCAGCAGCGAGGCCCGCCGGCCGTCCTCCCTGCGGCCCGGCCTCGTCCCGCCGCGCCAGTGGCTGCCGGTGAAGAAGGAGCGCGGCGGGCTGGAGGAGGAGGAGGAGGAGGAGGAGGAAGAAGACGACGAGGAGGAGGAGGATCTGGTGCTGACCTGCGAGGAGGACGAGGAGCCGGCCGAGCCCGCCGCCGCCCTGAGCATCAGCGACGTCCGCACGCTCAGCGGGCCGCCCCCACCGCCGCCGCCGCCGCCGGAGGAGCAGGTGAACTTCTGCGAGTCCTCGCAGGACGTGGCGGCCGCCTTCGAGGAGCCCTTCCCGCCGCCCCCCCGGCCGCTCCTGCCGCTGGACGTGCGGGGACCCCCGCTGTTGCTCTTCCCGGGGGCGTCGGCGGGGGCGCCGTCTGCCGGAGGGGCCGCCCCGGCGTCGTCGGTGGAGCACGGGGCGGTGCAGCTGTCGGGGGGCTCCGGCGGGGAGGGCAGCAAGATCTTCCTGTGCCACTGCGGGAAGGCCTTCTCGCACAAGAGCATGCGCGACCGGCACGTCAACATGCACCTGAACCTGCGGCCCTTCGACTGCCCCGTCTGCAACAAGAAGTTCAAGATGAAGCACCACCTGACGGAGCACATGAAGACCCACACGGGCCTCAAGCCCTACGAGTGCCACGTCTGCGCCAAGAAGTTCATGTGGCGCGACAGCTTCATGCGCCACAAGGGCCACTGCGAGCGGCGCCACCGCCTGGGAGGAGGAGGAGGAGGGGGCCCCGCTGCCCTCTGCGGGGGGGCCAAGAAGGAGGAGGAAGGGGGGGCGTCCCCCTCCTGCGTCCCCGGGGAGGCCGAGTGGGCCACGGGACGATCCCCCCGCAGCGAACTGGGCTTCGCGGGCAGCAGCAAGATGTGAGCCGCAGAACTGACGCCTCCCCTGCGAGGAAGACCCTCCCGGCCCTCGGAGGAGTCTCCTTCCCTGGAGGGGCCCTGCGGACTCTGCTGGGGGGGGTGTCTGGTTTCTGCAGGATGGGGGCTGCGAAGGGCTACCATCTCCCCCCCCCCATTTGGCCTGGTCTTCCCATCATGCGATGGGCCCGTCCCTGGGAGGGGGTCTCTTTGCCTCTAGAGCCAGCCAGGTGGGGGCTGCCCCAGGCCTAAATCCCTCTTGTGGGAGGAGAGAGTGACACAAAAGCCCCCCCCATTTGCAGAGGAGGGGGTTTCTTCTTGTTGATGTAACAGCAGCTTCCTCTCCCCCTCCTTTGTGTCTGCTTTGGGGTGCAGACTTTTTGGCAAGAGCCCCTCCTTCCCCCCCCCCCAGTTTGCAGGGGATGGTTCTGAGATGTCCGGATGCTTGACTGTGTGCCCAAAGACACACACACACACACACACAGCTTTGGGAGGGAACTCACGTCAGTCCTTCTGGATACACCTCCCCCCCCAAAAAAAAAAACCCTGGGGACAAGGAGAAGCCCCCTCCCTCCCCCCCCCATTGGTTCCTTCGGTGGAGATGAGAAACGTCCTTCAATTTGGCTTCGGCCTTTTTCTAAAGGAAAGCCAGAAATTCTCTTATAAATATTTATTGCTGTTTAAGGCCCTGCCTGGCTTCGATCTTTGCTGGCTCCGTCCTGGGGCTGCGGCTGGAGCCTCTGAGGAGAGGTGGGGGGGGGGACAGGTGCAGGTGAGCTGTGTGGGGTGGAGTCCAGGGGGGGCTCTCCCTGCCCCATAGTTGCTGCCCCCCCATTCCGAGCATGTTCTGCCTTCAATCTAAGCTGGATCCGGGGAACTGCTGGCCCTGAAGCCCCTGTACCCCGATTCCAGTCCTGGTTGCGTCTGGCCTTGAAGCAGCTTCCTTTTAGGGATCTGAGCCTCCCCACCCACCCCAGGGGCCCCTCCCCCCCTCTTGGCTCCGGGGGGGTGTGTGCAAAGAAAAAGGGGGGGACTCCAGGCGTTGGGCGATTCTCACTCATCTGGTGATAAGAGGCAGTCCAGCCATCCAGAGCTATAGCGGCCTTGGAAAAATTTGACTTACGGCCGTTTTCCAGGCTTCCCACCGTTGCAGCATCCCCAGGGTCACGGGGCCAAAATTCAGGCGCTGGGTAACTGACCCACGTTTGTGACGGCCGCAGCATCCTGGGGTCCTAGGATCCCCCTTTTCCTGCCTTCTGATTATTGAGCGAAGTCAAGGGGAGGGGGATCAGATTCGTCTAACAATTGTAGCAAGAGAAGTTGTAAAATGAGACAAAATCCACTTTTTTTCTGTCTCACTTAGCGACAGAAATGTTGGCCGCCATAGGTCAAGGACTTCCCGGATAGTATGGCTTTTGTTATAATAATAATAATAATAATAATAATAATAATAATAATAATTCAGTTTTTGGCTTAATGACAGATGAAACTCTTCAAAAGAACTTCGAGGCATTGTTTACCTGAAAGAATCTTTTATTCGGGAAACAAAAACATAGATAAAAGCCAAAAACTGAATCCCCCACCCCAAACTAACAAAGCACAATTCTCTCCTCCAATTAACAGTCATAAATCACATTCCCCAATTAGCTTGAAGCAGTGGGCTTCCTCCCCAGCTCTACAGCCTGCCAAATCTTTATCAACTCTGGGCGCAATGCCCTTGGATTCCCACGGCTGAGTTGTTATGACTGGCTGGACTGTCATCCACATCCCCACCCCCCAGCATCATCTAACTCTAAAAGCGAAAGAGTAAAGATGGCTACATTTCTATCTATTGTCAAAGCAAAAAACATCCGATGTTAGCAGCGTTGACATTTTATTATTATTATTACTATTACTATTATTATTACTATTACTATTATTATTATTATTACTATTATGTTGGAAGGGACCTTGAAGGTCATCTAGTCCAACCCCCTGGTATAGGAAACCCTATACCATTTCGGACAAATGGCTGTCCAGTCTCTTCTTAAAAACCTCCAGTGTTGGAGCATTCACCACTTCTGGAGGCAGGTAGTTCCACTGGTTAATTGTTCTCACTGTCAGGAAGTTTCTCCTTAGTTCTAGGTTGCTTCTCTCCTTGATTAGTTTCCACCCGTTGCTTCTTGTCCTGCCTTCAGGCACTTTGGAGAATAGCTTGACTCCCTCTTCTTTGGGGCAGCCCCTGAGATACTGGAACATTTACTATCATGTCACCCGTCATTTTCATTTTCCTGTGGCCTTTTGCAAGCTCTGCCCTGGCCTTGCTGGGATCCAGTGGTCAATTTATTGGGGGCTCTGCTGGAGACCAAACCGGCTTGCTAGGGAGGGAGGGAGGAGAGCCCACCGCTAGCACCGGTTTTGCTGCCCCCTCCCCTCCCCCTCCAGAGGGCCATTCCAGCAGACGCTCCCTTCACTCTCCCCCCCTCCCTCCTCGGTGGGTGTCTCCCTTTGGGCCCACCTCGCCCTCGTGGTTGTGGGGAAGGTTTTCAGGGGAACGGGGCCGTATGGATGGTGCGAAGGCGTAAATACGGACATGGTGCCAGTCACACTGATTCGTTTGGGGTAAATTCCAAGCTACCATCCCTGTTTGAACAGGTCCTTTTTCAGCGGAAGCTTTCAGGGACACACACACACACCAACACAAGTCCACTTGCACGGAGGAAGTGAATGCAAATTCTCATCGTCCCACTCTCCGTCCACCCCGTGCCTTTCTCCAGCAAGCTTGGTTGACTTCCTAATTATAGGAATCCTGGGATCCCCTGGTGGTCTCCCATCCCGTGGCCCCACTGCCCTCCTCTTGGGACCAGCCGCGGCCCTCTGGTGGTCACTGCCAGCATGAGATCGCCCACCTGGACGGGCAGAGGCTGGACCCCGGCCCCATAGACGGATTCCTTCCAGAGCTCTG